AGAAGTCCAGACATTTTCTAACACAAAATCTTCCTGAACGAAACTGAGAATAGCCGACGCCGGTGGTGTAGTGGTAAGCGTGACTGCTTTCTAATACCCCAATGGGTCTGGGTTCAATCCCAGCCGAGGTCGGTGGGATTTTCCTGAGGTATAAAAATCTCTGGTCACGTCTTCCTTCCGAAGGGAAGTAAAGCCGTTGGTCCCGGCCCATGTGTGTTGAATGGGTGCGATATCCTACGCAGGTGTAGAAGCTGCCTTCCCACACATTCTATTGCCGTCAATGGATGGCAATCGATGTTCGTCGGTGATTGGCACGAGATTGCGGTACAGAGACCGACGTTAAATAAAGAAAAAAAAAGAAACTGGGAATCGAAGCCAACGAATCTTTTACATCCTCATTGGTTTCATTTGAAATTCCTTCATCCGAGAAAACTTTGAACTTACCAGCGAAGCCCTGGGATCATAATATACCTTATCCCATCAGTGTGCAAACTGTCCCATCTTGTTAAACTGCTTAACCACATCCATCAAAAGTAAGGACCATAAATTTCTCCGTCAACGCCCATTTTCAACTAAACGCACCCTCGGCCAAATGATGACCATTATCCTTATTTGCATGCCACTCATGTGCTCTCACTGCTGCTGTCTACTGCTTGCACCAATAAGGGGTTATTTATGGACCATTTACGATAATCGATGGATCCAGTTCGATAGCAACATGCCACCGAGCTCTGGCTATGGCTACTGCACCCGTACCGGTCTCACTCAACGGCGGCTACGGTCACTAGAGCCCAACTATTTATTTCTAAGCCAACGAGCCTCGAAATGTATGCTAATCGAAACTGAAAGTTTGTGCAAACAGACGCACCACGATCACTGTCACGAATCCGTTGGCTGAGTCATGATCAATCGCCACCACCGTTGCACCCTTGGTCGATCCCTCTATGCTTAATCGCATTTCCGTTTTAGCGCACCTAACCGAAGCGAGGGACTGAACCGAGTTTAAAGCGCAATGCTGGCAAATTAGCAACAAGTTATTAATTATGAAACTGTCCCTTGAGTGAGTTCCTAGCTGTCAACGACAGTGACAGATGAGTGTGTGTTTTTCGTCTGCGACTGTCGACTGCGGTGGGAGAGAAAATCAAATGCCATCGTCTGACGGAAGGTTCCGCAGCGTGAGGCGAGTGATGTAAGGGCGGTCAAGTTGAAAATGAAAGTGCTCGTCTGTCAGTCTGTTATAATTGCAAAGATGGTTGTAGATACGTATTAAACAATTGTAACGTAAAAATATTATTGAATTAATGATCCGTCAAACTAACATTTTCTGAAATTGGGTGGTTATTTACCACTGGAAAGTTTAACGATCTGTACAAATAATGCTTGACGATAAGACACTGCAGTTTGTTTTTGATAATCGTAACCTTATTTTCAAGACCTGCTTGTTGGATTAAACGAATTCTGTTTTATGCAATATGTCATTGTTATAACTTATATAACTTAAAGTACAATAAATTACAATCTACTCAAGAAAAAATCATTTTCAGTCTGCAGCCGAGCATCGTTGAAAGCGATAGCTAAGATCTACTATTTTATGAATACTTAAACCATGACCTAATGCGGTATTATGACAGGTGATTGGTGTTAATGTTCCCATTGTTCTGAACCTTCTTTATACGTGGGATTTTCCGGAGCAAGCTCCCATTCACAACTGCGTCGTGATAGTTGCTTTGACATTTCCCTAATGTTAAAATTTCAAACACCATAATGTTATCGATTCCGATCGAAAATTTAAACTATCTTTGGAATTCCACTTAATTGTCCTGTCTGCAACCTACTTCCTCATGCGGCTAGATTAAATCGAACAATTCCCGGTAAGTATAGATGTGTATGCTAAACAAGCATTCGAATACCCAAACCGGCACGGCTGCTGTCTAGCTAGTGGTAAAACACAAACAAAAAGCAAGTCAAAGTGAAATGTTTGCATAAATATCGTTATTATCTCTATTACGACTGCCGACGCATGCAACGGACAACGGACGTGAAGGGAGTATAAGTCATATTGTTTGCAAAAAATAAAACTTGTGCGTTTTGGTGCAGCCATGCGTTGTACCACCAAACGGCATCACTGACGGATAACTACCCACTTATGATAGTTGCGCAATTTCCCTATGCTCAAATATACTCGACAACGAGGCAGCCACCAACCGGTTTAGTTCATCCATTCCAAGAAGCTAGTCGATTGTGAAGGAAATTTGGATTTGCATGTGGATTGTTTTGGGAGAAATTAAGTACATTATTGGTGCTGAAAACTCCTTCACTTGAGGTTATTTCACGATTATAGGAAGAATTATTTGCCTGATTAAGGTATAGTAAATAATTTATTGAGACAAAAGGGCGTTAGCCGGCGCCGGTGGTGTAGTGGTAAGCGTGACTGCTTTCTCACCCCAATGCGTCTGGGTTCAATCCCAGCCGAGGTCGGTGGGATTTTTCTGAGGCATAAAAATCTCTGGTCACGTCTTCCTTCGGAAGGGAAGTAAAGCCGTTGGTCCCGGCCCATATGTGTGTTTGAATGGGTGCGATATCCTACGCAGGTGTGGAAGCTGCCTTCCTGCACATTCGATTGCCGTCAATGGATGTCAATCGATGTCCGTTGGTGATTGGCACTAGATTGCGGAACAGAGACCGACGTTAAATAAAGGAAAGAAGAAGAAAAGGGCGTTATTTATGGAACCTTCCTTAGTTTTTGCTGAAGGCGAGCTCCTTTATTCTTCCTACCGAAGACACACTACTTGTATGCCAATTAACCAGTACAAAATTCCTAGAATCTCAGTTATGAAAATAATAAAAAAAAAAAATCTATACAATTGGTTGGCAATGGCGTCTGAAAAATAAGTTTATAGGGATTGCGGCCGAGACACAACAACATTATTGCCGTAGGACTACGAGATTGTTTTTGATTCTTTAATCAAAATTTGGTTCTAGGAGAACAAATACTGTTATAACAGTTTTTTGACATAATGCCATGAAAAGGTTTTATTTTAGTATTGCACAACAATCCAAGTAACCATAAACAGTAGTATAAACAGTGCTAATAAGCCCTTTGACAGCACTGCTAATGCTAAGAAGCATTAAATCAGAATTGCGAATGCAAAAAGTCTTGATAATATTTTGGCAGGAAAACCACGTGGCCAGTGTTTGAGTGGTTCAGTGAGTTGTATGTCTCAAACTTCTTCACAAACACCAAAACAGTGATTTTTAAGGCGGGCTACCTAGTTCACCACAGACCAACATAAGAGTTTGACAAAGATGATTGTACTTTAACTATATTTTTTTTATATTACTTCTGCGTGAAGTCAACGATTTACATAGTTCTCGATGAACATTTCAAATGGTCCTGTCTGCTTTGATCGATTCTCTTAATCGACTTTCTCTTTTCATAACCACTGCTATGCAAACAGATTTTCCGCTAATTCTACCACATAGTTTGATAAAGGAAGTTCTTATCTAGCGTCCAAAAAGTCAAGTACAACAGGGAAAGGTTTTGCATCTGAGTTATTGACGACAGAGAAAGTCGATGAAGAGAATCGAGCAATGCAGATAGGACCCTTTTAAATGTTTATCTAGAGTTGAAGATGCTAATTTCAAATAACAGACTAGAGTGGAAATTTTTATACGATAGATGAGGAGAGGAAAGTATAGAGTTGATAGTTCCGTTAGAGTACGGCAGTATGAAATTTGTATATAGAGAGTAGAAAGCGAGCAAGGACAACTTTTATGAAGGTACAAATCGGTTTGATCATCTCTCTTTACCAAACTCCCCCGTTGGAGAGGGATGAGGGGTATACCACCCCCCCCCCCCCCGCCCCAGCACCACTTCAAAGATGATTGGGTAAAATATTGTCTGATGCCGTTCAGTCGCAATTTCTTTTACCACTTCATATTTTATCAGGCTCTAGTTCTACGTAATATACGAAGTGTAAAATAATACTCAGTGTTTACTGCAGGGAAGCGAGCATACATTTAAATAGTTCGACCTGCACAACTTCTGGATAATGAAATTAGAGACCTTGCAACTTCTTTCTCACAATGCGTTATTTTCATAACATCTTTCTCAGTGGTGGAGTATAAAAATCACAAACAGTAATGCTGAAAACGGATGGTATTTGGACATAATAAACAATCATAAATCAGTCCGCATCGTGCTCTCTAGCCGTGCGGAATTATTTGCTATTTGCTGAAGGAAGTGTTACTGCTACCTAAAGCATTTTCTTCCTTTTTCAACTCTTTTCAATGAGGAGGATCCTTGTTTAGAATCTACCCGAGTTAATCCTGCTTGAATATCGATTTGGAAAATTCCTTTTCGATCCTTCAGATTCTTATAGTAATCTACTTGGAAGTCGATTTGGATAAACGTTTTAATGCCGCCATGGCACCTAACCGCAAAAGAAAGGGGCAATTTCTTGATCTCCCTTCTGATGAAATTAATTTGAGCAATCAATTTGATTTGCGCACGGATGATGAGAATGATCCATTATCCAGGTAAAATTATGATTACCACTTCCAATTTCCATGCTCATCGCACGGAACTTTTGAACTTCGTGAAATTTAAGTTTTCACTGCAAATTGAATGCCATGTATTGGCTGAAACCTTGGACGGATTCGAACGTCTTCTCAAGTATCTTACTGAGAAGCAGCACCATTTTTTTACTTACGACACCAAAACTGAACGTGTGTTCAAGATTGTCCTGAAAGTCTGCCAAAATCAAAGAACATGCGATCCTGTCATGAAAGTTAACGGGCAGAATTTGCAAAAACAAAATAAAAAGCGATTCTCTGCCCTGAGGAACAAAACTTTTGAACATAATGTTTCTAAACTAGACCCGAGTTCCAAACCTTTTTGGAAACTCACAAAAATTTTAAATAAACCTCAAAAGCCTATTCCAGCGCTTAAAGAAGGTGGTAAAAGTTTGATCACGATTGCCCTTTTCTTTTGCGCTTAGGCGTCATGGCGGCAGAACCAAGCTTCTCCAAATCGAGTTCCAAGCAGATTGCTATAAGAATGCGAAGAATCGAAGAGGAATTTTCCAAGTAGATGGCCAAGCAGGGCTGGTAGCGATCAATGCTGTCAAAAATAGTGATTTTAGGGACCATCTTGAAGAAATAAGTGACCAAATATAGTTGTGAAAAAGTGACTAGAAAATGACCTAAGGGAAGAAAATTAGCAGTTCTGATGGCAAACCAAATAAATGTTTGATGTTTTACACTTATTCAATTAGAATCTCATTAACGCTTAAATATGTATGATAGGAACCTTTAAAGCGAAAGATCAATAGAAAGTTCATAGCTAAACCTGAAAAACCGGAAATTCTCAGGGAATTATATTTCTCCTGAAAATGCCTGGAAGCCTCAGGAAATCTTATCATTAATCAAGAAATTTTAAAATTTTCTTACTAAGGATATTCCAAAGAAAAGAATGCATTTTAAAATAAAAACATTTTATATTCCTAGTTATTTTCATTCCTATATTGAGCTTTATAGCCCCTTTATGGTTCTAGAATATGTATATTTCCAACAAATTTTATAAATTCTGAACAGAATTAAATTCTTTGCACAGTTTTAAGGCTCATATAAGTTTATTATAATTTCTAAGGACCTCATTCCAAGGAAGTTCTGGGAAAAAAATCTATTTGAAAAATATCAAGTGCAATCTGCTTTCATAGTAGTTCTGAGGAATTTAAGATTTCATGTGAAGCCTGAAATGGTATTGAATAGAATTCCAAGAAAACCCGGAATTGAATTTAAAGTAAATTTTAATGTTAATTCATAGGAATTTCTCCTCCTCTGAACTTCAGAGGAAAATTCCAAGGGCATTCTGAGAATAATTACAGGAAGTTTGTGAAAGACAACGAAATCGGAGCACAAGTTTTCGTAATTTTTTGGTTAAAGGGGATGCTAAAAGGAGGATTTCAATTAAATCTGAGAATAACTCCAGAAGATCTTCAAAGAAATCCGAAAAATAAATCCAGGAGAGAATGCCAAACAAATTAAGGGGAATAATCTAAGGAATTTGTGAAGAGAAATGAAAATGAATTATTAGCAGACTTTCAATGTGAGTAGAATTCCAAGGGAAGGAGTGAGATAAAAATGGAAATCTGAAACGAATTAAATGAAAAATATGAGAATCTTTCCAGAATATTTCTTACTGAGAAGGCAATTCTTTCAAAAATTAAAATAAAATTGAATTCGGAGGATAGTTTCAACGAAATTTTGAGGAATATTTCAATGGAATTGCGAGAAATATTCTAATTATATCATATAGAATTTTATTTTTTAGAGATAATTCAGAGAAGCGTTCCAAGTGAATTTCTGAAGTAATTCCATGAAAGTTTCGGAAGAATTCGAGCGTAAGATTAGGAGAACTTCAAGTTAATTTACATGAGAAATCTCCGTTGAATATGTAATGGACTATTCTGAGGTCTTCAGAACAGCTTGTAGTTTGAGAAACTAGCCTGATGCTCGCAATACTTCTCATCAATGTTTTCAACTTCTCTAAACTTTTTCGGACTTTCTAAAGTTTCCACAATTTTTCTAACGATCATGAATCTTCTCTAAAATTTTAACAATTCACTGAGTTTCTTGAAACTTTTTTAAAATTTATGTAATTTTGATGCTGTGGAATATCTCTGCCCTGAGGATATCTATTCTTTCTTGAAGTTTTTTTATAGTGCTTTATTAGCGAGATCAATATCTTTCTTGAAGTTCTTGAAACTTCTCTAAAGTGTTTGCAGTTCTCTTCAAGCTTGTTGTACTACGTTGAATTTAATTAACTGTTCTAAATGTTCAAGCTTCCGTGAACTTTTGGGCTTATGTGAAAACCTCAATAATTTTCTTAACATCTCTAAAGTTCTAATTTAGTGCAACTAATGGAACTGAATTCCCCTTAAATTCGCCTTGTTTTTGGAGCTTTACTAAACTTATTTGAAATGCTCCCGAAATGTCCATATAAGTTCCTGAAGTTATCGGATCTTCCGTTATGTTCCATAGACTTTTATGAAGTTCTCGAAATGTTTCTGGCGATCTCTGTAGGGTTAACTACCCCATTTCCGGCCTATTAAGTACAACCCGCACTCAGTCTTTCTTAATCTAGCGCAGTTTAGCACCAAACGGAATGTTATTATTACTGACGGCTTTCAAATTTATTTACCTTTCCGTACGTACCGTAAGAGTTGATTTTTTTTTTGTTTATTAATTTATTTGATAAGGCTCAACCGAATTAACTTTACAGAGCCGAGGATTCTTGGTCACTATACAATACATTTTAAAACTATAGTCAAAAGGTACAACACAATAAACACTTTATCTTCCGCTATCCAAAAAGCCTCCTCCGTCAGAACTGGAGCCGCTTCCAGCAGTTTCATTGTATGGCAAATTGTTGTACGCCAACGATGGTCAGAGCGCGTCCATTGCAGCAATGGACGCAAAACGTGGTCAACACTCACACACTCATCACAAAACGGTTGCTTTCCAAAGTCGACGACGCATCGACCGAAAGAACTGCTGATGAAGAACAATGAGGAGGACAACACAATGGTTGCTGCCGAGTATACAGACGATCGCGTGGCACACATCGAGAGTGGTCTGCTTTTGTCGACAGCCGAGTGAACACTGCCGTAAGAGTTGATAAAGAGAAACAAATTATTGAGATATTGTCAAAAGTCTAACACTGCTTCTTGACGCCAAACTCGGCCTACGGATTTTAAACTCGGCCTAACGCATTGAAACGCCATTGAAACGCCAATGAATTCACTTCGGCCTATCGGATGAAGATAAAACATGATTCGGTCGGAGCGCTTCTTTTGTTTTTGGGAATAATGGGTGCAAACCTTCATATCTCGCGTTCTCATTGACTTCGTTCGGTAGCTTATTAACTAAAGTATCGTACCAAACGCATAATTGTCTTGTTAACACTGAAAGCATGGATTTATTTGAACTTTTCTGCTCGATAGGCCCAAAATGGGCGATTAGGCCGAAGTAGTTCTCTACCCTACTTCTGTGAAGTTTTCGAAGTTATTCTGAAATTTCAGGAACTTATTTAGCTCCCGCAACGAAATAATTAATATAGTTCTACGATTTTCACTGAAGTTCTCAATATTTGTCTGAAGTTCAAATTAACGAAACTAATTCATAACTTCTTCAGCAGTCTAGAGTTCCTGATGTTTTTAAAACTGTCCAAATATTTCTCAATTTCCTTAAAATTCTCTATACTGCCTTGAATATCTTAGTATTTTTTTAAAAGAATCCACCATTGTATTGGAATTGATTTAGTTGCCTTTAAGTTCTACAATTTGCCTTAAGTTTATAAACGCTCACTGAACTAGTTTTCCCTGGAAAGTCCAGCCCTGAAGTTTTCTATACTTACCTTAATTTCTCTAAATTGATCAAATGTTCCGATAATTTTTCTGATACATATTTATAATTCCCTGAATCTTCTAAAGTTTTCAGATCAATCATATAATTCTCGGAACATCCCATAATTCCAAGGAACTCCTTGTAAGTCACTGCAAATTTCCTTAGGTTAATGGGATTTTTCAGATGTTATCTCATCGTCCTCGAAATACTCGGAACTTCACTGAAATAATGCAACAATCTAAAAATAGATAAATTTTTTTGGAAGTTCTCTGGAATTTCTTGAAAATATCGGTGCTTGCAAAAAGTTATCTTTTTTTTTTTATTTAAATAAAAGGAACTTCATTGATGTTCTCTAATCGACTTAATTCAACTTTCGAATTTTTTTAGATCTTGTAATTTCCATGATATAACACCCTTGAAATACTCTCCCATTTTCGGGATGTTCATATATTTTTTATTGCGTTCCAGAAATTTTCTCTGAGCAAACCGAAGTTTCCGGAAATTCCCGGAAATTTTCTTGAAACTTCTCTAAGGTTTCTGCAATTCCCTTGAATGTTTTTAATTGCCCTTTAATTCTATGATCTGTCTTGATATTCTTGGAGTTTCACTAAAGCTCTCAATTCTAATGAAGATCTCGGTTCTGCTTTAAAATAAATGGAATTTTCGTGAATACCTGAATACATCCCTGGAATTCTCTGGATTTTTGTGAAGTTCCTGAAATATTTCTGAAGTTTTCATAAATTTTCTGAAGGTCTCTCGGAACATCTTAAGAGTTCTTGATTTCATTTCGGCACATCATGGAACTATCCTGAATTTGTCTAAACTAACGCTTAGAGATTATAAAACCAATCCAATGGTCTGAGCTAAAGCTTCCAAGACTTCGCCTTAAGATCGCTGGAATTCTCGAAAGATCTCTAGATCTAGCTTTTCTAAGATAAATAGAACTTCTTAAAAGTTTTCACAATTTTCCTAGACATTAAAAATGTTGTGATCTTAGACTTACTAAAAAGAAGTAAAGCTGTTTCTTTTTAACTGATTGCCATTTCATAAACACGTTTGCGTTAATTGTTGTTGTTGTTGTTGTTGTTGTTGTTTTACAAAAAAAAACATATTTTTAACGCATTTCATATATAGCTTTCTTACTATAAAAATTATCCGCCAAAGTTATGGAAAAACCTGGAAAACCCAGGGAACTGAGTGGACACATGGAAGTACCCTGTTAATACCTGCCTGCGCTCAAGAAAAACGATTAAACGTCAAAAAACTCTACCGTATGCGTGATAATGTTTGCATCCTTGGTACAAATAAGGTTCCCGTTTCACCTGTGCATACAATGCTTTAGTTTTCTTTGCATGCACGTAACCTATAGCTCATACCGTAGTAGGCTGTGTATTAAAAAAAATGATTTACTTAGTTTAACAGTTGCACCATGACAAAGTGACAGCGTGTTCGTGATTTGTCCCACGCGCAAATGTCGCAAAAAGACATTTCAAACGCCGTGGGAGTGTCCTGGTGGACCGTCAAAAGGGTTTTAGACCGAGAAAAGAAAGGACAACTATCCGAGAAGATGGCCACAGGTCGTTCGAGGTCAGCTCGGGTTCCGAGGGTTATCGCTGCTATCAAAAGGAAGATTCGGGTGAATGCAGTGCGTTCAATAAGGAAAATAGCAAAGGAACACGGGATTAGTGACTTTACGGCACGGATGATCGTAAAGGAAGATTGCGGGTCAAAGTCGAGGGCACGGAAAAAAAACTCACATGATCAGCATGAACAGCATCCGGGAGCTACGAGTCGAACGATGCAAGAAAATCTTGAACTTCCTTAAGCGAAAAAATCCGGTAATCCTGTTCACCGACGAGAGCATGTTTACCGTCGATCCCGTATCAAATTCTAGAACCAACCTAGTATATTAGTTCTCTTCCGGTAAAAGACGTGGCCGACGAGCACAAGAACGTGTATCTAACCAAGCATCCTGCTAGCGTTATGGTGTTTGGATTGGTGGCTTCCGATGGCAAAAAAATGGACCCGGGGTTCATTCCAGAAGGCGACAAGGTCAACTCGGAGGTCTACATCGGGATTTTAAGTAAGTATGTTCTTCTGTGGATCAAAGAACAGTACGGTCCGAAGCCAAATGTTGTATTTCAACAAGATGGGGCTCCGTGCCACACCTCGAACCGCACTCAGAAGTGGTTGCAGGATCATCTTCCATTCTGGGCGAAGGATATGTGGCCGCCATCCAGCCCCGATCTTAATCCGCTGGATTACTCAATATTGCGCGTCATGAAGGCCAAGGCCTGTTCTAAACGCCACCCGAGTACAGCAAGCCTCAGACAAACATTGACCCGTACCTGGAGAGAAATGGATCCAGACTACATTATTAGAACCTGCCGTGCATTCCGAAAGCGTGTGGAGGCCGTAATTGCAGCAAGTGGAAACACGATCAATGATTAAAATAGTTTAAGACTCTTAGAAACATCCCTTTTTTGAATAAATAAAAAACCCGAAAACGAAATTTTTGAGATTTTTTTTTTTTAATTTTGACATTGCTCAATGGTGCAAACATTATCACGCATACGGTATACAAGTTCGTCAACTTCAAATTGTTCAAAAATAATCCTACACACTGCAAGAAGAATGATCACTATTGAAACAAATTAACGTTAAAAAAAAGTTTAAAATAGTGACTGATTACAAGAAATAGTGACTTTAGTGACTCGGCTTTAAAAAAGGAGACTTTTTAGTGACTGGCTTGAAAAAAATGACCAAGTAACTAAAAAGTGACTCACTATCAGCCCTGAAACAAGGATTGAAGAGGAATAAGAGTCAAACAAGGTAGAATGTTTTGTAGCGTTAGGTAGCAGTAAAACTTCCTTCAATAAAAAGCAAATAGATCCGCACGGCAAGAGAGCACTATGCGGACTGGTTTTGTGTTGGTTTAAAATTTCTCGGAGAATGTGTTTTGTTTTTACTAGTTAATACAACCCTAAAAATACATACTGTAAAAACACACTGGAAACCACCTCCCGCCCGTAAATCCGAGCTTGCCTTTACCTTTAATCGTCAGAAGGAGTAGATGAAGTCCTTGAGCGCTCATTTGTGCACTTCATAAATCCTAATTAGTTCCCTACAACTCTTTCTTAGTAAATTTTTCTGTACAACCATCTGTTTTCGATCTAATTTATTAATATGTGTACAAAAACACATAGCCTCTTCTCAAAGCTTACTCTTGAGTCAAAATGGTCTTTTCTCCTAAGGAAAATACTGGAAATATGTGCCAAGTGTCTTCCAAATCGAAGATGGTCGACCACGATTCAGGTTTCTTGAGCTCATTCTGGACGCTTTCTAAACGATCATCAGAAAAAAAAACCCAACAGGAATCTATGAATTAACAATCAACCTGGTAAATGATTGCAATAAATCAACTCTTCTGATCAATGTGCCCCGGACATGGCATACCGGCGATTAGGTATGCATGCATAAGCAAGGTTCCGATTATCAATTGAATAGGGCTCTAATCGCTAATCAAACTGTCATCGAAACATGCTGTTTGTTGCAGCAGCTCCCTAGCCCGGGTATCCAATTGCATGTGTGCGGTGACAAATGTACTATTAATCCCAGATAAACAAGAAGGTGGAGCGGTAGTAATGGCGAGAAAAAGCGGCAAATTACCTTCATTTATGTGACAGAATGACTGTAAAATTGCCTTTCGGAAGGTTACGATTACAGGTCTGATCCTAATGGACTAGCATGTTGTTATACGTTTTTACTCGGAATTGGGTCTAGGATCTAAGCGAAACAGCTAACATGAATAAATGAAACCTGATTGAGGCGTCACACCGGCACACGGTAACCCCGATTAATTTGGGCACATTTTGAGAATTTAAATTTCTATACCTATTCATTCGATCCGACTTTCTCCGCCGATGAATTTGTCTTTAAATAAATAAATTCAAAAATAACGCTCTACCGCCCAGCGAAACTAGTTTAGCTTGGTGAAATGTGAGATGTTTAGCCCGAAGCGTCGAAAATAATTGATTACTCTTGATTATTACTTCTCTCATGTTCCGAAAGGAAACGGAATCAAGCGAAAGTGGATATAAAGGAAATATTATTTTAAAATCACACAATCGCCACCGTTTTAGAAGACTTTACACATTATCTGAATCGGTACTGAATCACCGAATAAACAGTTTATGCAACATACTCGTCGCAAGAGTTTTGCCATTGATTGCCAGAAACCCAACGAAACTCATACAAGAAAGGAACATATTGCCCATAGGTGATTGAATCAACGCTCTCTTTTTGTAGATTTAGCAGCATAAAATATGCAACCAGTTGGCTGGGCCGCGCAATGCGATGAATACTGTGGGTTAAAAAGCGACTAGTAACATCGATTGTCAAATTAGTTAGAGAAAGAATTTCCACCAGATCAGTCATGACTCGAACGACCAGCACCGTGGTGCTACCGCTGTTGATAGTTTTGCTTAAGGTAAACCAATTAGTTCACAATTTTAACATATTTTAAAAACTTCAATTGTTACTTCCAGGACAACCATTATGCCGCTGCGGACTTTGGACTACCGACAACCGTCGCTGGTGGAGCAGTGATCAGCTCCAACGCAAATAGTATCAATTATGTGCTGAATTCACTGAACCAAAATCTACGGAGATTCAATCCTGACAAGCAATCGGTACACCTAAGGTCGTCAAGTGAGAAGATCACTAAAATGGCACAGAAGATTGCCGACCTAGGAAAGTTGATTACCGCCAATGTTAGCAAGGCAGCGAGTGATAGATCAACACCCGTGAAGGAGCTATTTAACTCACTACAAGGCTCGTACGAGCGAATGAGTCAGTACCTGAAGGCGGACGCAATGGTCTCAATGGATTCGTTAAATACCGATTTGGGAGATACACTCACAGTACAACTGGAAAATGCTTTGGATGGTGTCAGTCAAGCTATTGCCAACGTCACCACTATAACGGAAACATTTGAGGGAGCAATCAGCCGGACGCTTCAAGCTGCCAATGGCAGACCAGTTACTCGAGGAACAATAAACGATAACATCCCTTCAGATCTCACCACATCGATGTCGAAAGCACTCGTACAAATAAAAGAACAAACTGCGGTACTATCTAAGGTGATTGAAAATGTCCTAAAAAACATTGCTTTCGTAGATTCTTATCTGGTGAGAGTAAACGCCACTGCTCTTTCATTGGAACAAAAAGTGAATTCCACATTATTTGGCATGATACAGCAGTATCCCACCGAAGCAAGCACCATCGTCAAACGTTATTACACCTCTCATAATATTTTTAAAACGGAAATCAGTAATGCCATCAGCAGCCTGTCCGTATTCTGCACCAATGCCACGCTACAAACCCTGGTCGATGGTTTCTCGGAAGCCTACACCAAAACCTACTACTATCTGTATCACCGTAATCAAGCAGATGTGGACGCAATCCAGAAGGCCTACAACGAAATTGTGTCAAACATCGAACGGTCCATTCAAGAACTAAACACCAATTTATACACCGATGTGCAGCAAATTGCTGTCACAGTCGGTTTCCAATATCTGAGTCAAAATCCAAAGTTCGACGCTTGCTTCAACAGACACAACATACAGTTTATGGCGGTATATACAAACATCAATAACGGCATCACCAACTGCTTGGGTAGCGAAAAGAACCGAATGGGACGCCTTCCGGACGTAGTCGATAGGATGCTGCGTTTGACGGATGCGAATACCGAGGATATTGCCTTTAATATTGAAACCTGTGCAGCCTACGAGGGATTTGAAAGCTCACCGACTACGTACGGCCTGGCGGTGGCATGTCTCAACACGGTAAGCATAGTCCTAGTCTTCGATCTCCTTGATCAAAAATAACACAAAACTCGTTACAAATTTCAGACCCTCAACCACACGGGTAGCCTCCAGCAACTGATCGGCCAAGGATACGATGTCATGCTGCAGTTGCATGCGCAAGAAGTGGCCAGCAGCAGGTTCCGAATTGGATATTGCTTGGACACTCGTCGTGCCGAAAGTGTTTCCCTGATCGAAAGCCTCCATGCGGAAGTAGAACAGTGTCTCAATGGCGAAACTACCAGGCGGAACATTGAAGAACCGGAAGAGCAGGTTATCGACCTGACTGCCACGGAAGTGGTTGAAGATGTAACTACTGAGGAGGGAGAGAGTGCTACGGCTGACGATGGTGAGGACAATTTATTTGATGAAAGCATTTTCGGCAACTATTGAAGAATGGGTATTCGTAGTAGAGTTTATTAATTTATTTATTTTTAAAAACTGTGAAGTTCCTGGTATGATGATGCTTTGGCAAATAAATAAACTCAAAGCCTGTGACTAGAATAGCATATACAATTGTAGAAATCATGGGTGGCTATATAATGGTCAACTAATATAGTTTGCAGAAAATGTTGTGTGTTGCCGTGAAGAAGTTCTTGGGATCAGAGATTTTCTCCGCATATCAACATTTACAAAATAAGCTTACAAGCTTACAATCATAGGGAACATCAAAAAAATACACGCAAACATAACCAAAGCATTTAAAAGTATTTTAGCTTATGATGCTGCAATCTCGGTTGGTGGATTTTTATGCGTTGACATCAGAAAAATTACGGAAACTTCTAAGGAGAAGAGCTTCGAGGACGTTCCGAAAATTTCAAGGTAGACCCGAGAACATCAAGCACGTCTAGAACTACGGGGGCATTATGCATCTCGAAGGGTAAGTTAAACTATCAATACGGTCCAATATATTACACAAAAATACACTTCATCCAATATCAAAGAGCTTGAAGGCAGTTCGATTAACATCAAACCTCTTAAATAAAGAAAAAAAATGTTTAAAGATCTTTAGGGAAGCAACGTAAACTTCGGGGCAGTTCTGAAAGTTTCAAGGCAGTTCCATGAATATCAGGAAAATTCCGAGAACTTCAGGGAATTACCGGGAATTTCAGGTAGATTTGCAGAACTCCAGGCAGTTTCATTAATTTCAGGAAAATATCGGTACCGTCCAAGAAGATCCAAAATTTAAAGTATAGTCCATAAAACTTCAGGGAAGTAAACTAAAGATTTGTTTTAGAATCTTCATAGAAATTCCAAGAATTTCACGAAAGTCCAACGAACTTCAATTCCAGATCATCATCAGTAAATTAATGAAAACTTCAGGGAAGCTTCTAGAACTGCAAGAAATATTAGAGATCTTCGGGGCAGTCCCATTAACTTCACAAAAATTGTTGTTAACATAAATTCCGAGAACCATAAAAAGTTCCGAGAATTTCAATGCAGTCCAGAGATTTCATGGAACTTAAGAAAACTTCATTGAAAATTCGGGAACTTTAAAGAAGTCCCGAGAACATCCCTAAAGGATTTTTAGGACTGTTCCATTTATTTCAGGGCAGTACCAAGAACTCGAGGAGAATTCTGAGAACTTTAGGGATACTCCGGGAGAACTTTAGGGATACTCTGGGAAAATTACATCAGCAAATTGTGAGTTGATTTTAAGAGAATTCCAAGTTTTAAACACTTAAAAAATACCAAGAAACTTAGCGATGATCAGTAAACTCCTGAAAAGTTTGGACATTTTTAGGAAGTTTCATAATATTCAGGGAAGTTCCGAGTACTTCAAGGACGATCAGAGATCATCACAGCAGTTCAATTAATTTGAGAAAAAATGCAGGGAGTTTCATGTAGATCTAAAGAATATATAATAAATATTCCGAAAAAAAAGAATAAATATGAAATATTCCGAGAAATTAGGAAACTTCATGTATGTCCAGAGAAGATCAGGAAAAAATATAATTTTCAGGGGAAATTCCGTGAGTTTTTAAGAAGTTTTCAAAAATTAAAGAAAATTACCGGAACCGCAAAGATATCAATGAACTTCAGGGCAATCAGTTAAATTATGCGGTATTTAAAAATCAGGGTATTCTAGAAGACTATAACTTAAAGTAAATTCAGAGATATATGTGGTAGTCCCAATAACATAAGGAACGTCACTATTGCGTAAATTTTAAAATGATCATGGACTTGTTTCCATAATTTCAGATCATTTTCATGAGCTTCTAAAAAAAATGATAACTTAAGTGAAAATCTCAGCACGTCATTTATTATTTCGCTTAAATTTGCAGGGCCTTAGAAATTGTAAAAAAATTCAAGAAATTCCAAAGGCCTCGAGGGAAGTTAGGAAATTTCAGGAAATCTGCGGGAACTTCATAGAATTCTATAGAACGTCAGGAAAGAAATTCCGAGAACATCAGGAAAATGCAAAAACATTTTGAAACAAGTTCCGTAAGTTTAAGGGTTGTTTCGAGAATTCAGAGAACGTCGCGGAAGATCATTGCAAATCTATTAATTTTAGAAAAAAATACTGGAAAACTTTAAGAAGTTCCCAGATTTTCAAGAAGTCCAGAGAACTTCAGAGATGTTTAAAAAACGAATTAGTAAATCGGTTTATATTTGTATTTTTTGATTTGGTTGAAATTTTGCAGAAACGTTCCTTATGACCGACTTTGCCATTTTGCATCTTCATATCGCCAATTTGAATACAGCCTTAATTTTGAAAAGGTCCTATTGAAAAATATCAAGCTTATCTTCAGAAAATTTTAACTCGAAAACTGTTTGCCCGATCGGTTTGGTGTCTTGTGCAATATTGCAGATAATGGATGAGACTAATTGAAAAAAATATGCACTCTAAAAACATTACCCAACTTTTTTTTAATTTCAAATTAAATCTTAAAAACAATTTTTCTCAAAAAAATGATTTTTTGTATTTTTTATGTGTTGATATGTTTTAGGGGACGATAAATCTATTGCACTATAGGTCGAAATGGAGAAATGATGGACAAAAAAGTTATGATTTAAAAAAAAAAAAACTTGGTCCAATTACTTGTTCGAATTAATATAATGAAAGTACTCCAAATATACAATAAAAAAGCACACAACTAAGTCGCACCGTTTTCGAGATGTAGCGGTTTGAAAGTAGATGTTTTTAAAATGTTGGTAGTTTTTGGCAATTTTTAAATGTATTTCGCGGTACTCCAGTTCCAACAATATTCTTCGAAAATATCAGAAAATTTTGCAATAAAAATGCTCTTGGTAGCTCATCGATATGATCTAAATAATCCGTAATGTATATGATTTAAAACAATTAATTTGTTTTGCAAATACATATTTCGTTCGTTAGCATGCAAAGAACTTATAATTGCGATTTTTCGAGAATGATTTAATTTATTTTTACATTGTTGGATTGATATAGTTGTAATAGAAATCCATACTTTAATTCTTAGTAGTATCAACAATTATAGTTTCATTATTACAGGTTGAAAAGTATCTGAATTCTATTTGTCTTTTTTGAGATAGGAATAAATTAGTGGTATTTTTTAGTTTCTTGAATGGTTATAGCCTGGGTCTGGCGGACTCGTAATGGATTTCGAACCAATTTGAACTGTCAAAATCGAACTATTTTTTACTGTTCTTATAAGAGCTTATATGGAAGAAACAGATAGGGAGTATTGTAATCTGAGTAAAACGTAGTTGTTATTATTTTTGGAAACATATTCATAGTTTTGATGAACAAACGTAACAACAACAGAGTCTTGCACTGTTAGGAACTGGGGTTTCCGGATCAATCTCGCAAAAAATCAACCACGCGCGGCGCAAGAAAAGATCCTTCGGAAAGCGAAATAAACTTCTCTTCACCGGTGCACTTGCAGTGTAGCTGCAAAACTTTGCGTAACATCGCATTTTAACTGCTTAGGAACATTTATGAAAACCAAATATTATTGATACAGTAGAAAACCGGAAAATTCGACACGTGCCAATCGATTTTACTCTCAATCTGTACATAAAACATAACGTCGGACATAGTGCGCTGTATTTGTACAATGATGCGCCATAATGCACACCATGTCCGACGCTTTGTTGTTGTACAGAACGAGAGTAAAATCGAAAGTCGGGTGTGGGGTTTTCCGGTGTCAAACGCGATCGACAATAACAACGAACTACAACAGACTACAACTACCAATCGATATTTCAAGAGAGTCACTCACAATCTTGCACACATTTGCTTTGTTTATCAATTTGACAACCGTTCGAACAGAGTAAAGCTTGCTGCAATGCGTCTTGGATAGTGTCTGAAGCTGACTGCGATTCGATTTCGCCAGACCCAGGTTATAGCCCTTGAGTATTGTTCGTTGAGCTCGTGCTTATGAGTTTCATATTCTTCAGTAGTTGCATAACAAAAGAAAATTTGAGTCAGCTGATCCTCGTTTCGCTGATTGGACCAAGTTTTGGATATTTTTCCAAAAAACTTGAGTTTTTTTTTACATCAGAACTTTTTTGTTCATCATTTCTCCATCTTGACCTATAGTGCAATAGATGGTATTTTTTATCCCCTAAAACATATCAACAAATAAAAAATATAAAAATTCTTTTTTGAGAAAAATTGTTTTTAAGACTTTATTTGAAATTTAAAAAAAAAAGTTGGGTAAAATTTTTTAGAGTGCATTTTTTTTTCAAATATATAGTCTCTCATCTCACCTGCAATATTGCCGGTAATGATCGGCCAAACAGTTTTCGAGTAAAATTTTTCTGAAGATAAGCTTGACATTTTTCTATATACCCTTTTCAAAAATAATGCTGGATTCAAAATGACGATATGAAGATGCAAAATGGCATTATCGCTCATAAGGAACGTTTCCGCAAATTTTCAACCAAATAAAATAATACAAAATTAAACCGATTTGCGAATTCGTAGAAAATTGCTCATAAGACTTTTTTTTAGCTTCATAAAAGTTCAGAGAACTCAGAAGAACGATAATTTCAAGAACATTTGAGTAGTTCTGAGAGTTTCTGGGAAGATCAGACCTTAGGACTGTTAATTTCTAGAAAAATGTTAAAGAAGTTTCGAGAACTTCATGGACATTTTTAAGACTTCAAGACGTTCTTAGAGTTCCAGAAAAAAACGAGAACTTCAAATATGATACATGATCGTTTGAGAAATTGAGGGACCTTAAGGGAAGTCCAGAGAAGTCCAAGAAAATTTTAAGATTTAAAGGAAAGTACCGTGAGCATCAGAGTTTTATTTCGAACACTTCGGATGAATTTAAAGGCAGTTCCATTAACTTCAAAAAAAAAATTTGTAGCATTTACGAAGTATCCTAAGGATATAAGTGAACTTCAAGGAAGTCCAGA